GTTGTTGTTGTTGTTGTTGTTTGTTGTTGTTTGTTGTTGTTTGTTGTCGTCGTCCCACCCGCAACCCGCCCCGCGACCCACCCGCGACCCACCCCGCGACCCACCCGCGACCCACCCCCGACCCACCCGCGACCCACCCGCGACCCACCCCGCGACCCACCCCGCGACCCACCCCGCGACCCACCCCGCGGCCCACCCGCGACCCGCCCGCGGCCCATCCCGCGACCCACCCCCGACCCACCCCGCGACCCACCCGCGACCCACCCGCGACCCACCCGCGACCCACCCCGCGACCCACCCCGCGGCCCACCCCGCGACCCACCCGCGACCCGCCCGCGACCCACCCGCGACCCACCCGCGACCCACCCGCGACCCACCCCGCGACCCACCCGCGACCCACCTTCGACCCAAACCACGTTCAAGGTACAAACCAACATTTTCGGCGCCTGCGGCGGGCTTTTTTTGCATTCCTTCCAGGTGGAGAGCCCGCGACCCACCCCGCGACCAACTCGCGACCAACCCGCGACCCAAACCACGTTCAGGGTACAAACCACATTTTTCGGCGCCTGCGGCGGGCATCTTTTGCATTCGTTCTAGGTGGAGAGACCGCGGCCCACCCGCGACCACGTTCAGGGTACAAACCAAATTTTTCGGCGCCTGCGGCGGGCATCTTTGCATTCGTTCCCGGTGGAGAACCCGCGGCCCACCCGCGACCCAAACCACGTTCAGTGTACAAACCAAATTTTTCGGCGCCTGCGGCGGGCTGCTTTTGCAGGAGGACGAGGAGGAGGAAGGAGGAGGAGGAGGAGGAGGAGGAGAGGAGCAGGAGAGGAGGAGGAGGAGGAGGAGGACGAGGACGAGGGGACGACGACGACGTCGACGACGACGACGACGACGAAAAGGAGGAGGGGGGAGGATCGGGAGGGGGGGAAGAGGAGGAGGACGACGAGGAGGAACATGACGACAATGGGAGGACGATGATGGAAGGACGAGGGGGGAGAGGGAGGACGAGGAAGAAGAGGAGGAGGAGGAGGACGAGGTGGAGGAGGAGGACGACGATGACGATGAGGACGAGGACGAGGACGAGGAGGAGGAGGAGGCGGAGGAGGAAGAGGAGGAGGAGGAGAGCGCCATCGACAGGGAAGGTGGGGGCCACGAGGTCCGCCGGCTTGACGACGCCCGCGTCGCCCGCGCCCGCCCCCTCACTCTTATCCGCAATTGCGGGGTGCTACGGTATAATATTGTTAGCTCTCATCTGCTCCCGTGTCAGTCAACGTGTATATCCCAAACGATCGATAGCCGCCTTCTTCGTCTTCGATCGTACCCCCTTGGGGACATGTCTTCCTTACCTGCCACGTGTAGTTGGCGCACCCCCTAACACAGGAAGATGAGGGAGACAGGGAATAGATAGAAAGCGAGAAAGAGAGAGAGAGAGAGCGAGGAGGAAAGGAGTGCGGGAAGCGAGGCCACGAAAGGCATTGAGGGGGGCACGAGGGCAGCGACGGGGCCACGAAAGGCGAATGCGGAACCACGAAGGGCAGTCATATGGGCCATGGGCATCGAAGGCGGGCGCCGGGCAGCGAGGGGCGACTGCGGTCCCCAACTGGCGGGTCGGGCATTCGGACCCAGAAGGGCGGGTCGACCCAGTGGATCGATGAAGCGCGAGTCCTGCATGAACCGCAGGGAAGTCTTTTGCGATGGCGCGATTCCAAAGTGAATCGCAAGGTCGCCCAGAGCAAGAGCGTGACTCCTGAGCGTCAAGGGCGCGGCGCTCGAATCAATCGCAAGGAAGTCCCACGCGAGAGCGCGATTCCAGGGTACATTGCAAGGAGGTCCCGAGCGAGAGCGCGACTCTTCAGTTGCTTGTGGGGAAATGTCAGATAGGAACCGCTGTTGCTGTAGACCGGGGGCCGACAACACAGCCTGAGGCGCAAAACCTTCCCTGGTAAGAAGCGGGGAGCGAGTCCTCGGGCGGGGCCCTTCCACTGGAACCCACAAGAACCCGTACATCCGGCGTCTCTTTTTCGAGACACCGGCCCCCCGACCTCTCGACCACTTCTCATCCCGAGTCGGTCTTCGGGGGCCCCGAAGCCCGGCAAGAGCCCCGAGAGGCCGAGGACTACGAAAAACCTCCGCCTCGGCTGCTCCGCGACGCCGGCTCTGCCTGGGAGGCTATTCCTCCCCGGCGTGAGTGTTCCACGGCACGCAGCTCGGGCCCTCGCTCCTCCCCGAGCTAGCGCTGCCCGGGCGGGGGCAGGGGCCGGAGGGCAGGGCCGGAGGGCACGCCCCGCCTGTGGATGATCGGGGAGGAGCAGTTGTGGAGGAAGCACAGGGCCCTCGCCACCGCGCTCGACCACCGGAGGAAGAGGCGCATGTCCGGCCTGAGGGCGGGGGAGGATGGAGCGAGAGCGGAGGAGGGATGAAGAGGACGGAGGGCAAGAAGGGAGTGAAGGGGCCCCAGGACACACAAATAAATACACACAAACAAAAATATTCCCCATATTTCCCCATATTTTCTAGGTTTCTGTCTTCGCCCCCACTTCCCATGTTTTCCCATATTTTCTGGGGAATCGACGATTAATTGTGTCTGTGTGCTTCTTCCCCTCCTGAGGGAGGGGGGAGGGGGGGAGGGGGGCGGCGGGAGCAGGCGTACGTCGGCGAACGGCCTCGGTGCTGACCTGCGTGCGCCGCGAGAGCACGGGTCGTGCCCCCCCCACGTGTGAAGAGGGCCGCACGCTCGCCCCCCCCCCCCCCGAGCACCAAGGCCCGCCTGGGCGTTCCTTCTCCGTCAGCCCTGCGACCAGGTGAGGGGGGGAGCAGTGACACGGGCAGCCTCTGTCCTCGAATAGGACTGCCCACCCTGCGAGACTTGCGGACTCGCTCGCGCTCACTCCGCCAGCGCTCTGCTGGACGGAGGAGAATAAAATGCTAGCAAGCTGCCTCGCCCCCAGCGGCGCCCCAAACCCACAGGAGCGCCGTGTACCACCCCCTCAAATGGCTATAGGAAGTCATCGAATTCGAAACAAGCCAAAGGCATTTGTTCCTTAACCTCGCTGTTCTTAGCCAAAGGCATCGTTTCAAGCACGACGACTTCCCAGAACCACCCCCGAGGAAGAGGAGGAAAGAAAGGAAGGGAGGAACAAAAAGAAACAGAGGTAGGCAAAGACGGGAAAGGGCGGAGAGGGGGAAGGAGGGCGGTACATTGCAACCCAGGAGCGTGTGGCCCCGAAAGGGCGGGCTCGTTCCTCGAAGAGGACCGCCCGCGGCGCCAGGCCAGCCCTCCGGCTAGCACGACAGCCAGGCCCTCGAGCATCGTCGTCGGGTCCGGCCTGCTCTGGTGGGACACCTCCCTGCAGAGCGAGACAGCGAGCAACCTTGACGACTTGGGGTAGCTTGGCATCCTTCAGGCTGAAGCAACCGAGTGAGAAAATCATGAGAGCGCGCCAAGAGGGCCCCAAGACGGCCCCAGAAGCCTCCAAAACGGCCCAGAAGGGCCCCAGGACGGCCCCAATAGGAGGCCCAGAGGGGGAACCCGAATGGACATTTCGAGTACTCGGCACCGAAAAAACCTGAGTAGGCGCCAAGAGGCCCCCAAGAGGCTCCCACGAGGCCCCCGAGAGGCCCAAAAGAAGCCCCTGGAAGCCTCAACACGGCTCCCACGAGGCCTCAAAAATGCTGCCAGGAGAGCCCAGAGAAGCCCAAGAGCAGAGCCGCGATCCGCCAACTGCCCCCGACGAACTCCCAAGAAATTGAAACCCCAAGCTTCCCCAGAAATCGCGCGCGCTCCGCAAATTCCGTTTTTTTTTCACTCCTACTGCCGCCCCGAGGGGTCGGCGGTGCGGCGTCAGCCAGATGAATTATGAGGGCGCCCCTGACCTGGACCGCCGACGTCATAATTTGCTCATTACGTCGACCCCCCGAGGTCTCGACCTACTCCCTCCCCAAGACCAATTTGTCTTCCCGAGTCGTTCTCTGAAGGTCCCGAGGCCCGGTCCGGGGCCCCCGGAGGCCGAAAATGGCGAGAAACCTCCCGCCATGATTTTTCCATTGATCGAAAGGGGGTCTGGGGACCTGGCTCCCAATGTCCACGGCCAGGCGCCCTGCAGGGAGCGAGCGCCCAGACTCCACGGGCGGGATCGCCACCTCTCTCCTCCTCCTCCTCCTCCTCCTCCTCCTCCTCCTCCTCCTCCTCCTCCTCCTCCTCCTCCTCCTCCTCCTGCTTCTGGGGGCCAGCGCTGCGCGCCCCTCGTCCTCCCCCGACGTCCTCTCGAGAGCGTCACACTCGGCGCCGCCGTCGGACTCTCGCTCGGGGGCCGCAGGAGGTCGCCGCCGGAGCCCCCCCGTCGGCCTCGCCCTGGCCGAAGGAGGGGCGTGTAGCCGCGAGCTCCGCGCCCCGTTCCGCCGCGATGGTCGCCTCCGACAGGCGTCCATGTGGCGCGTTCGGCACGGCGCGCCCCGCAGAGCGCCGGCGGCCGGCGGCCTAGCGCTCCAGGGGGGGATCGCCCGAGTGGCTCGCTGCGCCTGTCGCGGCGGGCGGGAAGGCTGGCGACCCTTCGTCGTCGGTGTGCACGTCTCGCACTCGGGCAACTCGGCGCAGCCCTCTGCTCGGGCCGCCACCTGCTCCTGCATGCAGTGGGGGAGTGGCATGGCGAGCTCATCACGTCCAGCGGCATCCTCGTCGCTTGGCCGAAGAGCATCGCCAACGAGTCGCCGATCGGCAGGCTGGGAAACATCGCCAGCAGCAGGCTGAGGCGCAGCGCCAGCACCCGGCCGAAGGGGAGCACGAAGCCGAAGGGCCAGAGTGGCGACATCGGCGCCTCGGGCCGGCCTGCTGCGCCGGGCGGCATAGCCCAGGCGGCAGAGCGCCGCCGCCACGGGCCTCGGGGTCGGCGCCGGTGGCATCTCGTCGAGGTCGATGTGCAAGCCCCGCCCATTCCCACCTTGCCCCCCGCAACATACGAATAAGCTGTGGCACGAGTTGACAGCGGTACTGGAACGCGTCCCCACCTCGCAAGCGGAAGACACTCGCGCGCGGCCCCGCGTCCGACGACCTGGTGAAGGGGAAGGAGTGGGTGAGGGAGGAATGAGGAGGAGAGGGAGGGAAAGGAAGAAGATAAAGGGGAGGAGGGCCGCGAAGGGAGTGAAGAGGGACAGGGAGATGATGGAGGGAGGGGGAGGAGTGGGGGAGGGAGGACTGAAGGAGAGAAAGTGAGGGAGAGAAGACGTGCACTGTGGAAGGGGATAGAAGGGGGGAGGGCGCGAGCTTGGATAGAGGAGGAGGGCACACTGGGCACGCGCGACACGTCTGACATCACCTGTCATCCCCGCCCGCCCATCCATCGCTTCCCATTGAGCCGACGCGTTGCTCTGTCCGCCGACGGATGTCCTAGCGGACCTGGATCCCCGGAATGACCCCGGCGTGGGGTGCAGGGCGAGCTGTGCACATTGGACGAGGAGGTGGCGGAGGAGCAGGAGGATGAGCAGGGGAGGCTGAGGAAGGAGGAGGATGACGACGACAACGGAGTGTAGGAGGAGGTGGAGGAGCTGGAGGAGGAGCAGCAGCTGGAGCAAGACGAGAACGACAAGGAAGAAATCCATTCTAAAAGACGGAAGCACAGCGCCGACCCTGAGATGGGGCCAACGCCGCAGCGGAGTCACCACTTGGCAACACGAGAGACGTCCTGAATGGAACGGGCACGAAACTTTTCAATGTTTGCAACCATGTGCGCGAATTAAAGAGCCCGACTCTTACCCAAGTAGAGGAGAACCTATTAAATACATCATCAAACAACAAAGGCAGTGAGTTCTGTTACTTGGCGTCGACTTGCTGTGCTTTGCTTGACGTCGCTTAAAACTGTGTAGCGTTAGCTGGCGTTGCTTGGCGGTACCATTCGCTGCTTGGCGTTTACGTTGCTTGGCGCTGCTTTGTGTTGCTTGGCGTTACTTGGCGTTGATGTGCATTGCTTTGCGTCGCTTGGCGTCGCTTTGCGGTGCTTGGCACTGCTTGGCGTTACTGGGCACTGCGTAGCGCAACTTAACATTCCTTGGCGATGCTTGGCAATGCTTAGCATTGTGCGGCGGCGGCATTGCTTGGCATTGCTTGGCATTGCTTCGCTGAGAAGCAAGACCAAGCAACCCGAAGAAGGCCTCTTCAACACAGTCAAGAAGCAACACCTAGCAAAACCCGAGGAAGACCTCATCGAAAACAGTAAGGATACAAAGCCAAACAACTGCAGGAAGGCGTCTTCAAAAATGAACCCGGCGCGACCCCAATTAGATGAATGCTTCCTAAGCGGCGTTGGTTAGAATTGTTCTTGTTCGACGTTTCGACATTGGGCGGAAAGGGGGGGTGAGGAGGGGAGTCTGGTTCCAGACCTCTGCTTAATGCGACTGTTTGCAAAAGTGCGTCCTATGGAGGAGACTCTGCCTGCTCGAAACAGGCGCCAAAGACAGCCAAGATCTACTCCATGGGGGGGGAGGGGGGGATGCGAGCGCCCGCGCCGATCGGCAAAACAACGAATAAGAAAACGATCACTTGGCATTGCATTGCTTTGCTTTGAATTCTATTGCACTGCTTGGCATTGCTTGGTGTTACTTGGCATTGCTTGACAGTGCTTGACATTGCTTGCCATTGATTGGCATTGCTTTGCACTGCTTGGCGTTGTTCGGCATTGCGTTGCATCGCTTGGCATTGCTTGACGCTGCTTGGCGTTGCGTGGTATTATTCAGCGTTGTGTTGCATTGCTTGGCGTTTCTTGACATTGCTTGGCAATGCTTGGCGTTGCTTTGCGCTGCTTTGATCTGCTTGGCGCTGCTTGGCGTTGCTTGTCGTTGCCTGGCTTTGCCTGGCATTGCTGGGAAACAAAACCAGCAACAAGGGAGGGGATACTGAGGAACCCAGGGAACCCGAGGAACCTTCGAGGAACGGGCAACGTAACAATAGGAGGCACCAGGGGCCGGGAACCCGAGGAACCCGAGAAACCCAAGGAATCTCCAGGAAGCGGGCAACGCAACAATAGAAGGCATCGGGGGCGGGGAAGCCGAGGAACCCGAGAAACCCAAGGAACCTCTGGGAATCGGGCAACGCAACAAAGAAGGCAGTAGGGGCGGGGAACCCGAGGAAACCGAGGAACCTAGGGAACCCGAAGAACCCAGGGAACCTCCGAGCAACGGGCAACGCAAAAATCCGAGGCACCAACCTCTAACCAAGTGAGAGCCCCCTGGGCAAACCTGATTGGGGGCCAGTGCGGAAGCAAGGCCTGGCAACCCGAGGAAAGCCTCCTCAAAACAGTAAGAGGAGAAGAAGAAGAAGAAGAAGAAGAAACGCCAAAAACAGAAACTGTTGGTGTTCCGCGCGAATTTCTTGGATCTGCGCTGGACACCCAGGGGCGGCGCTGGAAGCGCCGGCAGGTGGGCCGAGGGCGGATCCAAGAAATCCGCGCGAAGCGCCAACAGTTTATGTTTATGGCGTCGTTTCTTCGTCGAAGTAGGGAAGCAAGACCAAGCGTCACCGGGAAAGGATCTTCAGTAACACGAGCTAGAGAAACGAGACCGAGCAAAACCCGAGGAACGCAGTCGGGGGGCAGCAACAGCACCTCGATGAGCGCACGGTGAAGAGACAGGACCTCGGGGAGCCCCGAGCAAGGCTGGCCGGCACAGGCCCGGGAGGAATTCGGGGGCGGCATGGAGGCATGTGCGCGGTCCACGGGGGGGCCGGGGACGTACAGTCGGCCTTGATTGGACAGGACACGCGAGAGGACACAAGACCCTTCCGAGGGCCACATCGTCATAGGAGTGTAAGAAGGCACGTGTCGCGAGGCACAAGACACAAGGGTACCCTTGAGCTGGCAGGGTCGACCTACTAATCCGGGCCGACTGTAATGCTAGGTTTAGGTCGGGCATGTCCTCCTACAGGTGGATTTTGGAAGAAAAATCAAACATACCCCCAACAAATTCAAAAATGGTCAAACATATTGAAAACATGTCAAAGATGGTCAAAAAATCATCCTCATACTATTTTTGACTATTTTTGAATTTTCCCCCTGTAGAGGGACAGGCCCGACTTAATGCTAGGTCGGGCGTATCCTCCTACAGGCGGATTTTGGACGAAAAATGAAAAAAGAACCAACAAAATATTAAAAAATGATCGAACATAGTCGACAACTTATCTCCGGACTATGTTTAACTATTTCTGAATATTCCTCCTGTAGAGGGGCGTGCCCGACTTAAACGTAATGAAATAAGAAGAGGCGCCGTGACATCTGGAGAGATCTCGTGGCCCCCGCCATGGTATCCACCCTCCCCTAGTCATCACCCCCCTCTTGGCCCCCCCCGAGGAAAGGGGCCCAGCTCGGGCAGGATCCGAGGAGAGGGGAGCACTTTGAGCACCTGCAGAGGGGACAGGGGACCAGGCCCAGCTCGGATCACTTTGAGCACCTACAAAGAGGGAGGGGCGGAGGGGAGGGGCAGCAGGTGCACGGCGAGTCTCAGCGGTCAGGGAGGTTGCCAGCGACTTCCTCGGGCTCGTGGTGGGGGAGGAGGGACAAAGGGAAACACCCTATTGCTGAAGCTGCGGCTGCTTCTCCTCCTCCTCCTCATCCTCATAATCCTCCTCCTGATATCATCATTATCATCATCATCATCATCATCATCATCATCATCATCATCATCATCATCATCATCATCATCATCATCATCATCGTCATCATCATCAGCAGCAGCAGCAGCATCAGCATCAGCATCAGCATCAGCATCACCATCATCAGCATCATCATCACCATCAGCATCATCATCCCCACCACCACAACCACCACATCCATCATCATCATCATCATCATCATCATCATCATCATCATCATCATCATCATCATCCCACCTCCACCACCATCACCCCCAGCATTATCATTATTATCATCATCAGCATCATCATTATCATCATCATCAGCAGCAACAGCAATCATCACCAGCACCATCACCATCACCATCAAAATCAACAACGTCATCGTCATCGTCATCGTCATCGTCATCAGCATCATCATCAGTATCAGTATCATCATCGTCGTCGACACTTCCACCTCCATCACCACCACCATCATCAGCAGCAGCATCATAATCAGCGTCAGCATCATCGTCGTCATCGTCATCGAGGTCTTCATAATTGCTATGTTTCTGTCAAGTGGAGCGAAGTAGACGGGCGTGAACGCCTTTTCCCAAACGAAGCCAATGGAGGCGGACTCTCTCTTTAAATATCTCACATTGCGCGATGTAGTTGTCGGTTCGGGGAGACGCAAGACGCGGATTTAAGAGGCTCGGGTTGGACTCACGTGGCCGTCGGGAAACTGACAAGACTCATCCTGAAATCTGACGCGAGATTCCGCTGTAGAGATCCCACGGACACTGGACCGTGAAAATACCAGGCGGGCCCGTCGGCCCGTCGAAAAAGGCCTGCAAGCCCGAGTTCCAGCGAGCTCGAGTCTGACGACTCCCCGAGCGGTCTGTCGAACGGTGGTTCTTTCAGGCTTGCGGCGAAGTTGACCCTGGTGTTGGTGGCGGGCCAAGGATGCCCGAATCAAAAGAAGGAGGAGAAAGAGGAGGAGGAGGAGGAGCAGGAGGAGGAGGACGAGGAGGAGCAGGAGGAGCAGGAGGAGCAGGAGGAGCAGAAGGAGCAGGAGGAGCAAGACGAGGAGGCGCGGCCCGCGCGGGAGCACCCCCCCCCGTTCTGAAGCTCTTGGATATGCACGAGAGGCCAGGGGGGCGGCAAAAAGCTGCAACGTATTGCAGGCGACCCAGCAGGGGCCCAATTGAGCGCCCAAACTCTCAAATAAGTTGTTGGAAACTGACCTCCTCCTCTTCCTCCTCCTCCTCCTCCTCCGCCTCCTCCTCCTCATCCTCCTCCTCCTCCTCCTGCTCCCGCAAGTGGGCACAAGACGCTGCATTGCACGAGTTGGCGAAAAGACGCACGAGAGCGCATCCACCTTTAACAAGGCACGGCGGCCGCGTATGCGTGGTCCTCTTGTCATTGCGGTGCCCTTTGGGGCCTGACGTCGCTCTCTGTTCCCTGGATCACGGAAGAGATGTAACTCGCTGTTCCACTACACTGCGAGAAGTGGGCTCAATGCCAACGCCGAACCGTACTGAAACGAGACAAATCCGCAGAAGGGCCCGAAGCGGCTAAAAAGGTGTTGACGTGCTCCCCCCATGCATGGCCCCTGTTACCCAAACACCGAATTGTCAGAGAGTGTTCATGTTCACCGCTGTCACTGTCGTCCTCCTCGTCATAGGCGACATCGCCGTCTTGGTCGTCGTCGCCGTCGAGGAGGGGAAAGAGGAGGAGGAGGAGGAGGAGGCCGAGGAGGAGGAGGAGGACGAAGAGGAGGAGCCTCCAGGGGCAGCCCCGCTGGGCGGACTTCGTGCAGAAGTGGCGCTCGAGGTCCCCGCCCTCCATGTACTCGGAGATCAGGAAGGGCCGCGTGCTGTAGATGCAGGCCCCGAGGAACATCACGAGGTCGGGGTGTCGCATCGTCGAGAGGATGCCGATTTCGCGCAGCACCTCCTTGGTGATGTCCTCCTCGTCGGCCTGCTCCGCGCTCTCGTGCCAGCTCTTCCGCGTCAGCAAGGTCTTCGCCACCACCTTGATGCCCCTCCACTCCGCCGTGTGGATGGCGCTCTTCAGAGTCTTGCTGATCACAGGGCCGAACTTGACCTCGTTCTCCTGTATCATCCAGTTCACGGTGCAGCCGCTGGTCTGCCGCGCAAACATTCCCTCGATCTGCCCAGGCAGGGGAAGGGTGCCAGCGTGCATGCCCTCGGCTTTGACGGGGCGCCCCTTGTCGCCGGGATCGCCGCGGCCCTCCTGAGGGCTGGCATGAAGCAGACGGGCGCCGAGGGAAACAGGCCCTAGACTTAGGTCGGGCATGTCCTCCTACAGGCGGATTTTAAAAGAAAATAATACATAGCCAAGAAAAATACAACATAATCAAACATGGTCGAAAAACCATTCCCAAACTATTTTCTTACTATTCTTGAATAATCCCCTGTAGAGAGACAGGCACGACTTAACCCTAGACCCCCAGGGCCCCTCCTCCAGGGCCAGCGCTTCGTCCCGAGTCGCTGCACTCTGACTGTCCTGGGGCCCAGTGGAGGGCCCTGGGAGCCCGAAAACGGCCGGGACACCTCCAGGGCCCGCTTGGCGGCTGAGGAGAAGGTGTGGACCTCCGTGGCCTGAGCCGCTTCGGCCGGGGGGTTCAATGCGGGGGCAATGAGTAAAAAAACTGTGCAACAAGCGTTGAGGGTTGAGGAGCCACTTCGCAAGACCCCCCATCCAACCCCCGGCCTTCCTTTTGAAGGAGCTTTTCGGGAGAAGCGGAACCGTAAACATTTTGAGCCCAACATCCCGAACGCAAGAATTCCCAACGTTAAGGCCTGAAGGTGGAGGGGGGAATCCGGTTCTTTCTTGTTCGGGCGTTTTGTTACAAAATGTTGTCCTTCAACCCGATTAATCAGCATCGCATCGGGAAATCTGATCGAATCGAAATGCCAGTCGGATCGGGCTGGATTAGCACAAAACCGAATTCGAATCGCGTCGGCTGCACCAGGATGCACAACAGAGCCATGCAAGCGCCAAGCAACGTCGGACAGTCGTCATATCGGAATCGAACCCAATCGAACCGGCCGGAGCCGATATCGAATCGGACAAATCGGATCGAAATGAGGGGGTGCGATCAAGAGATCCGGGAATGCGGCCCCACATGGGCCCTAGAACTGCCACCGCGCCCGCAAAAGGTGTGGAAAGGTGCGCCTTCATCTCCTCCTCCCTTGTAAATTCCCACCCACCCCTTCGCCATCCGCATGCATGCAAGGCCAGTCAGTCAGCCCGTTTGCCGTCCACCCGTTTCCGAAGCTCCAGGGCCTCCTGTGCCCTCCTGTTGTATCTGCGGGCACCCCGGGGCATCTCTACTCGACGCCTTCCCCAGGGCCAGATGTTCGTTTGGCATCGCTTGCGACAGAGGAAAAAAAACGCCGCGCCAGGGGGGCCCCAGGGCGGATCCAAGAAATCCGCGCGGAGGGTCAAAAGTCTATGTTTTTTTATGGTGTTTGTTCTTCTTCGACTCGACGGTCCCGAGGCCCGAGACCCTTCCCTCGGATGCAGAGCCATCGTGTCGAACCCCCATCTTGAGTTGTGCAAGGCGTTGGAGATCTGGGCCCTTGTCGCGGTAGTCCCCCGAGTATTAGGTCGGGCACGTCCGCCTACAGGCGGATTTGGAAGCAACAATGAACAATCTATACGGACATTCTAACACCGATGCACAAGTAGTCGGACATTGCCCCCAGAACGCTTTTTACTCTTCATGAAGATGCCTCCTCTAGAGGGGGACGCGCCGCCCAACTCAACCCGAGCCCCTGAGGCAGGGGCAAACGCCCCCTCCCCCTCTGGCGGGCCTCTCCTCTTGTCGGCGGTGGACAGACCTCCCTTTAGTAGACCTCCCCTTAGTGCAAACGGCCTGGGACCGAAACCGACGGACCTGGACCCGCAAAAATGACGGCCGCGACGCCCTCTCGCGAACCGAAAAAGGCCAATTCCTTAATCGACGTGTCACTGTTGGGGGTTCTGTCCACCCCCGATCTTGCTCGGCTCAGAGGCCGAAGACGCCGACGTGCCAACAGAGCACTGCACGGCGCTACGTCTTCGGCCCGCGGTGGCCTCCAGGACACCCAGAGAGGGTAAAGGCCTCCTAGGTGGGGTCCGACCAGATAGGGCCGAAGGATCACGCCTTCATCGCCAGTGCATCGCCGCTGTATCGGCGACGCATCGGCGACGCATCGGCGATGCGTCGGCGATGCATCGGCGACACCGGTGCAGGGAAACACACGGGCTCCGCATCGAGCCGCATCGTCGATGCATCGGCGATGCGGCGCGGTGCTCCGACCCCTGGGTCCCTTACTAATCGTACCCCGGGTCCGGTGTTTTAAGGCGCCTTTTGGGAAGGCAAGGGGGGTCCGGTTTAGGAAGGCGTTTCCGTTTCCGGTTTAGGAAGGCAGGGGAGTCCGTTTTATTGGGGTGCCTTTTGCGCATGCACGTTCACGTCGCACGCGCGCGAGATTCTCGAAGCTTGCGCTCGCTACCACCAGCCTGCGGAGCATCATCAACATCACCATTATCATTATCAGCATTGCCATCATCAGTATCATCACAATCAACCATGACCATCAATTCCATCAGCATCGTCATCATCCTTGCCTCTTACTGCCACTGTCAAAATCACCATCACCGCGAATGTCGTTATCATGGCCGTTGCCATCGATGCCCTGTTCTTTATTCCATCACCGTCATCACAACTATCACACTGACTGTTATCATCAGCGCCCTCCTCCTACTTAACAGCTCCATCAGGCAGTGGCTGCGCAGGGCGGTTTCCCGCGCTTACTAGTCTTACCATACTTGACGCACTGTTGCTGAAAATAATGCCTGAACACCCTCGCGGCACGCGATATCAAAGACGCGGCGATCGCAATGAAAATATTGATGATGATGATGATGATGATGCTGATGATGATGATGATGATGATGATGATGATGATGATGATGATGATGATGATGATGATGATGGCGGTGATGGCGATCTGTGGTAATTCCATTATCGCACCCCCAAGCGTGAATACCATCTTGCGTACTCAAGTGCCCCTCAGTTCTCCATGAAGCCCGCCTTCAAGGCCGCTTTCTTCATGCGGAAAGCTTTCCCTTTAGAATTGCGCCAGACCTTGTATGTCTCGCCAGCCCTTGCATCGTAAGGAGCGGGATTGGTGCGCGGGGGGTGGACCGTTATCGGACCATGAGGTTCGTTGCCTTCAGAAGCCCGTGGGCTTTCGACTCGGGTTTCTCTTACTTTCTGGCTGGCTGTGTCGAGATCATGCCGTCGTCGCCTCCTGCGGTTCCATGCGCGGCGCAATTGTTGAGGGGGGCATGGATGTGCCCTTGCGTCCATCGCCGTGTTCAGCAGGGGGATGTGGTTAAGGGGTGGGTGGTCTGATCTTCACGCTCGCAGCGCCGCTTACCACTTATTGCCATCCTTATCGCCAACGAGGCCGCCGTCATCTGGCAATGTTGCGGGGGGGGAGGTCCAGAATATGAAGGCGCCCAATGCGAGAAGGGGTTCGGAAACGTAGGTCGCGTCGGAGGGGGGGGTCCGGTTTCTGGGGGGTATGATTAATGAGGCACCCAGAATACTCGGACCCCACCTAAGAGGCCCAGAGAGGGACGAGTGCGGCCGTCATGCGCCTCCCCCAGGCGCCCAGAGAGGCCTCCAAGACGGCCCCCAAGAGGCCCCCAAAGGTGGCCCGGGGAGGCTGCCAATGACGGGCGGGGCAGCGAAGCCACGCGGCCGCGCGGCAGTCTCGCCCGACAAGCTGCTGCCTGGCTGGGCGGCATACGCGCGCACACACACACACACACACACACACACCGAGGGCGCGGGGGGGGGGGGGGACGCCGCGGCCCTTCTGCCAGAGCTGGGGCCAGCCCAGCGAGTCCCGCGCGGCCCCACGGCGGACGTAAGGAGGGAGGGGAGGGGGAGGGAGAGAGCAGAGAGACAGGAGGGGGCCATAACCCAGCATCTGTCTGCAAGACAGGGACGTGGCGCTGCCACACCCCCTCCCGGACCCGATCGTCTCCAAGTCAGGAACCAGAGCTGCTCCACCTCGCACGCGCGTGCTGCCGGCGCTCCACGACGGCGCCTCGCCTCTCACCCGCACGGTGCCGGGAACCTGCCCAGGATGCGACGCGCCGCACCTTTGAAGCCAAGCAGCACGCACCGTCGCGCGCCGCGCGTTCTCACCCCGTCGAGCTGGCGGGCGCAGGCGCCCTCGGGTAGCGGCACGCCCTCCGGCTGCGCCGCCCCAGCGAGCCTGGGGAGCACCGCTCCCAGGGGGAGCCACGCGCTCGCCAGGGCGGAGCACCTCTGCCGTGGCAAGGCGGAGAGGACGGGTGGGGCAGAGCGGGCGGCGAGGTGCAGGAGAGTCTCTCCCTGGCCCGCCCGTGCCGAACCCCGTGGTGGCCCACGGCCCTCGGGCAGGCATGGACGGACGACGATCGGGCTGCAACCCGCATGTCTACTTGGGAAAGAGCCCGGGCGGAGGAGACAGAGAGGAGAAGGAGAAAGAGCAGGATCTGGTTGTCGTGGTCGTCGTGGGCGTCGTCATCGTCGTCGTCGTCGCTGGCTTTCTGCGGTTTTCGGTGATTTTCGATGGCTTCCAGCGGTTTCCCTTGGCTATCGGAGTACTATAGCGGTTTTCCTGCTCCTCCTCCTCCCCTCTCCTCCTCCTCCTCCTCCTCCTCCTCCTCCTCCTCCTCCTCCTCATCCTCCTCCTCCCTCCTCCTCCTCCTCCTCCTCCTCCTCCTCCTCCCTCCTCCCTCCTCCTCCTCCTCTCTCCTCCTCCTCCTCCTCCTCTTCCTCCTCCTCCTCCTCCTCCTCCTCCTCCTCCTCTCCCTCCTCTCCTCCTCCTCCTCCTCCTCCTCCTCCTCCTCCTCCTCCTCCTCCTCCTCCTCCTCCTCCTCCTCCACCCTCTGCCTCCCTCCTCTGTCTTCCTCTTTCCTCCTCCCTCCTCATTCGTCTTCCTCTTCCGTCCTCCTCCGTCCTCCTCATTTTTCCCCGTCCTTCTCATCCTGCCCCTTGGCGATGGCGGCGACGGCACTACGACGACGACCACCACCACCACCACCACCATGACCACGACCACGACCACGACCACGACCACGACCACGACCACGACGACCACGATGGCGACGACGAAGGCCAGAGCCGCGGGGATTCTCCTGCAAGGCCTTCAACAGCATGGTCGCCACCTGCGTGGCAGCAGGACGACGACGACCCTGACGGCGTCGACGACGACTTCGGCGACGACCAGACATTGGCGGCGACGACAACGACGATGAAATCGACGATGACCTCGGCGACGAATCGGCAACTACCTCCGCAACGACCTCGGAAGCCTCGACGACGACGACAGCAAGAAACACCATCGAGAACGAACTCGACGACGACGACGACGACGACGACGACGACGACGACCTCTTCCTGCTGCTGGCTCACAGCGGACGACAGCGGGGTATTACCGAAGTTGTCCCTGTGCCTCACGTCGGCATTGAGGTCCAGCAGCTCCTGCACGATGTCCTCCAGGTGGGAGAGGCGGAGGACGATGGAGGATGAGGGAGGAGGGGGGAGGAAGGAGGCGGGAAAATGAGGGAGGAGGGAGGCCAAGGGAGCAGGAGGGAGCGCCGCTGGATCTCCCCAAGGGGGCGGGGGGGGGCCCTTCCCCTTTCCCCAATCCATCGTCGGGGAACCCACCCCCCTCCCCCCCTTTCCCGGTCCGTCGTCGGGGACCCCCCCTCCCCTCTCCCCCCCCTTTCCCGGTCCGTCGTCGGGGACCCCCCCCCTCCCCCCCTTTCAAAAGGGGGGGGGTGTTCCCCATCCCCTCCTTCGGCCGCCAAATTCGACCCCCCCCCCTCCACCCCTTTCGCCACGGCGCCCCCTGGCTCCGGAACCCGACCCCTACCACCCCTAACGCTACCACTAACCCTAACCCCAAACCCTAACCCTAGCCCCAAACAGTACTCAGCACTCATTTTCCACTACTCACTACTCACGACTCACTGCTCACTATCCACTACTCACTACCCATTACCCACTACTCACTACTTACTACTCACTACTCACTACTCCCAACTCACTACTCACTACTCACTATTCACTACACACTACTCAATATTCACTACTTACTGCCCACTACCCACTATATCACTACTCACTACTCAGTACTCACTATTCACACTCATTCATCACTACTCACTACCCACTACTCACTACTCAATATTCACTACTCACTACTCACTACCCACTATATCACGACTCACGACCCACTACGCACTACTCATTAATCACTACTCACTACCCACTCACCACTATATCCACTACTGAACACTCACAAACAATTCACTACTCACTACTCACTACTCACTGCCCACAACTCACTACACACTATCCGCTGCTCGCTACTCAATGCTCCCTGCTCCTTACACAGCACTCTCTGCTCACTAACAAACTACCCACTACTCGCTAAACCCTACTCGCTACTCGCCAACCGATACGCAATATTCACTACCCACTACGCACTACTCACAATTCACTGCTCCCTACTCCCTACTCCCTGCTCCCTACTCACTAGTCACAAGTCACTACTCACTACTCACTACTCAGTACTCACTACTTACGACTCACTACTCCCTACTCACTACTCTCTACTCGCTACTCCCTACGCACTACCCACTACTCACTACCCACTACTCACTACTCACTTCTCACTTTTCACTACTCCCTACTCGCTACTCACTACTGATTACTCACTCCTCACTACTCACAACTCACTACGCGCTACTCCCTACTCGCTACTCACTACTCCCCACTCACTACTGACTACTCCCTCTTCACCACACACTACTCACAATACCCTATCTCTACTCACTATTCACTACTCGCTACTCCCTACTCGCTACTCACTACTCACTACCCACTCCTCACTACCCACTACTCACTACTCACTACTCACTACTCATTGCGCACTACTCACTACTCACTCCTCACTACTCGCAAGTATCTGCTCACTACTCACTGTTCACATTTCACTACTCACTACTCACTACTCTCTACTCGCTGCTCACTACTCACTATCCCGAGGCCGGACACCCCCGCCTTGAGGGAGAGGCCCCATCCCCGGCCCCCACTTCGGCGCAAAGGGGGAGAGGGGAGGGAGGGTTCGACCCCCCCCCCTTCACGCGCCAATGGAGAAGGGGGGGGTGGGAGACGGGGGTTCGGAACCACCCCCCCCTTTAAGGGGTAGGGGGGGGTCGAAAATCTCCCCCCCCTTTGAAGGGGGCAATGGGGGGGGGGGGTTCTGCAAGCGCCCCCCCTTGTCAATTACAGGGTGATCCAGTGGCGCGCTTTCTCAAATTGGTCCTGGTCGAGGTCTCTGGGGCGTCCTCCCGCCTCCTCCTCCTCCTCCTCCTCCTCCTCCTCCTCCTCCTCCTCCTCCTCCTCCTCCTCCTCCTCCTCCTCACCATCACCATCACCATCACCATCACCATCAGCATCAGCATCGGCATCAGCATCAGCATCAGCATCAGCAGCGTCATCAACGTCATCATCATCATCATCAGCAGCAGCAGCATCAGCATCATCATCATCATCATCATCATCATCATCATCATCATCATCATCATCAGTATCAGCATCAACATCATCATAACCACCATCATCAGCATCACCACCACCAATCATCATCAGCATCATCATAAGCACCATCATCATCGTGATCGTCGTCATCATCATCACCACTACAACCACCATCATCATCATCAGCATCATCATCAGCAGCAGCATCACCACCATCAGCAGCAGCATCAGCATCAGCATCAGCAGGATCAGCAGCATCATCATCGCCGTCATCATCAGCATCATCATCGGCAGCATCATCAGCATCAGCAGCAACAGTAGCATCAGCATCACCAGCAGCAGCATCACCAGCATCATCAGCATCAGCATCAGCAGCATCATCAGCATGATCATCATCATCATCAGCAGCATCGTCATAGTCAGCGCCATCTTGATTATCATCACCATCATCATCATGATCATCACCATCGCCGGCGTCGTCGTTATCAGCATCATCATCACTAGCATCGTCACCAGCAGCATCAGCATCATCAACAACATCAGCATCAGCATCATCATCGACATCATCATCATCATCATCATCATCATCATCATCATCATCATCATCATCACCACCATCATCATCATCATCATCATCATCATCATCATCTGCATCATCATCAGCATCATCATCATCATCATCATCATCATCATCATCATCAGCATCAGCATCAGCATCATCATCATACTCCTCCTCATCCTCCTCCTTCCCTTCTCCTCCTCGTCCCCGTCATCTCATCATCCGTCATCTCAGGCTGTGAAGCGCCGCCACCGCGTCGCTGGTGCGCCGCTGCCGCCGCCTCCCACTACGACCGAACCCAGTCACGAGCACACGAGTTCACGGGCGGGGTGAAACGTCTTGCAAACAAAGCGTACCCCTAGAGGTGAAAGACCAGAATGAGCGAAAGAGGCCAGGCGAGATCCTGAAGCCTCTTCCTCTGGCCTGGGCCCTCGCATATGCATGCTCACGCATTCGCTCCCCCCTCCTCCTCCTCCTCCTCTCCTCCTCCTCCTCCCCCCCTCCCCTCCTCCTCCTCCTCCTCCTCCTCCTCCTCCGCCTGCCTCCTGCTCTCCTCCTCCTCCCCCTCCTCCTCCTCCTCCTCCTCCTCCTCCTCCTCCTCCTACTCCTCTCACCCTCCTCCACCCCCTGCCCGTTCCTCCTCCTCCCTCCTCCCTCCTCCCTCCTCCCGCCTCCCGCCCGCCCCTCCTCCCGCCTCCCATCCCCCTCCCCCCCCCATCCCCCTTCCCCTCTCCCCCTCCCTCCTCATCCCCCTCCTCCTCATCCCCCCCTCCGCCTCCTCTACCTCCCCCTATTCCTCCTCCTCCTCCTCCTCCTCCTCTTCTTCTTGTTATGAATGTTATTCTTCTTAGTAATATTAGTCGTCATATTCGTCTTCTCATTCGTATGATTCTTCTTCGTAGTGTTCGTAGTATCCATATTATTCTTCGTGTTAGTATTCTTCTTACTATTTTAATCAATTCCTCCTCCTCCTCCTCCTCCTCCTCCTCCTCCTCCTCCTCCTCCTCCTCCTCCTCCTCTCCCTCCCTCCCTCCCTCCCTCCCTCCCTCCCTCCCTCCCTTCCAGGGATCCCGTATGGAGAAACCGAGAGATCGGATATCTGGCGGCCCCCGGATGTCGCGACGTTTACAAAAAAGCTGGGATCCCAAGATTCTCGACCTCGTCTCGGGGACCGGGTCTTGATCCCGCGCCGTCTTTGAACGACCCCAGGGCCCCATAAGGGGTCCGCAGTGTCCGAAAACAGCAAAAAGCCTTCCGCCCTGATTTCGTTCACCACGCGAGGGGGCCTGGGCTGATCAAACCCTGGCGTTCGGCCGTGGGTCCTGGCAGGCCTGAGCTGGATCGACTCGCGCAATCGGATCGGATCGGCGACGGATCGGCTCGCTGGGAAACCGTCCCCGATCGAATCAACATGGGATCGCCGCGCCTGGCACCAGCTGGCTGGCCCCAGGCGATGCTGCTGAGCCGAGCCAAACCGAATCCCACCAGGATCGCGGCCCCAGTCGACGCAGCAGATCGCACCGAGGCGGATCTTGGGCGGCTCCGTCCTGGTGCCCGTACGCGGCGGCGATGTGCAGAGCGCCGCGGCCGTCGTAGTCCTTGGCGTTGACGTTGGCGCCGTCGGCGATCAGGCGGCGGATCATGTCGGCCCGGCCCGCGGCCGCAGCGCAGCACAGCTCCATGCCCGCGGCATCCCCCTGGGGCGAGTCCCTGTCCAGTTCGCCCTGCTATCCCACCCCCTTATCTCCTCTCCTTCCTGCGTACTCGTTGTCCCCTCCCCCTCCGCCTGCCTCCTGCCTCCTCCTCCTCCTCCTCCTCCTCCTCCTCCTCCTCCTCCTCGTCCTCCTCGTCCTCCTCGTCTCCTCGTCTCCTCCTCCTCCGCCTCCTCCTCCTCCCCTCCTCCGCCTCCTCCGCCTACCTCGCCTCCTCCTCTACCCTCCTCCTTTCCTCCCTCCTCCTCCTCCTCCTCCTCCTCCTCCTCCTCCTCCTCTTCTTCTGATTAGTATTCCTATTATTATTCGTCTTCTTCTTAGTATTATTATTCTTATAAGTATTGATATTATTCTTATTCGTAGTATTATTAGTAAAATTATTATTAATAGTATTTTTATTAGTATTATTATTATCATTATTATTATTATTATTAATATTATTAGTATCAGTATTAGTATTAGTATTAATATTACTATTGTTAGTATTCGTATTATTATTAGTAGTATTTTTAGTAGTATTAATATTATTATTATTATTAGTATTATTATTAGTAGTATTAGTATTCGTATTATTATGATTATTATCATTATTATTATTATTATTATTTTTAATATTATTATTAGTATTAGTATTATTATTAGTAGTATTATTATTATGAGTAGTATTATTAGTAGTATTATTAGTATTAGCATTATGAGTACTCTTATTCTTAGCATTCGTATTATTAGTGGTATTAGTATTTTTATTATCATCATCATCATTATTAGTACTACTACTATTACTACTAGTGATAGTAGTAGTATTAGTATTATTACTATTGATATTCATATTATTGTTATCATCAGTGTTGTTATTATTAGTATTCCTACGATTAATAATATTATGGTTCGTCTTATTATTATGCTTACTGTTATGGTTATTAGTATTATTCTTCTTATTCGTATTATTACTATTATTCTCATTAGTAATATTGTTAGTATTATTCGTATTGTTATAAGTATTGTTCTTCCTATTGTTCTTACTAGTCTTCTTCGTATTATTATTAGTATATTATTCTTTTTAATATTCTTATTATTATGCCCCTTCATATTTTTACTCATATTATTCGTAGTATTATTCTAATTATTATTATTCCCTTTATTATTCGTCATATTATTCTTATTATTATGATTATTATTCGTCTCCTTCTTTTTTTTTTTCCTCCTCCTCCTCCTACTCCTCCTCTTCCTCCTCCTCCTCCTCCTCCTCCTCCTCCTCCTCCCCCTCATCCTCCTCCCCCTCCTCCTCCTCCTCTCCTCCTCCTCTCCTCCTCCCTCCTCCTCCTCCTTTTGCCTCCTCGTCGCCCTCCCCCTCCTCCTCCTCCTCTCCTCCTCCTCCTCCTCCTCCTCCTCCTCCTCCTCCTCCTCCCCCTCCTCCTCCACCTCCTCCTCCTCCTCCTCCTCCTCCTCCTCCTCTTCCTTCTCCTCCTGCTCGCCCTCGTCCTCGCCGGCGTCCTCGTCATAGTCCTCGTCTTCGTCGTCCTCCTCTTCCTCCCTTCCTAAATTGGTTTCCCCGATGGTTGTTTCAGTTGGAACGTGTTTGGCGTTTCACAACGGTGTTCCCGCTGAAGCGCGGGCGTCATTTTAGGATCCACACTCTGCTCCCGTCCTTCAAGATGTCGGTTTCGCCGCAATGCGGGCCACGGTCCGAATCCTCCTTTATCGGTGTGCTCCCCCCTTCGTTCTGTTCCTCCGCCTTCGTCTGGACCTCCTGTTGTTCCCGCCTCTTCCACTCCAGTTCCTGCCGTCGCTGTTCCTCCTCATCTCACCTCTTCCTTATCCTCGTTTTCCTCCTGCTCCTCCTTCTGCTCATCGACCGCTGTCTTGTGGAGATGATTCGGGCGGTGTGCCTGCTTCTCCCCCTGGAGTTCTCTTTGGACGCGTGTGTTCCTCACTCACTCACTCTCTCGTTCACTCACTCACTCACTCATTCACTCACTCACTCATTCACTCACTCACTCAAACAGTTACTCGCACACCACCTCCCCCTTGTCCTTACTCAGATGCACCCATCCACACTCAGATTGGCGCGTCCGCGCTTGTTCCTCATTTAGACCAACTCATCACCTTCAGTCTGACCCATACTCAGACTCATTCATAGTCAGATTCGTTCATACGTAGACCCACTCATTCCCATACTCATGCAAACCCAGACCCGTCGACAACCAGACTCAGTCAGGCAGGCACAGACTCGCCCACCCGTAGACTGGCCCATACCCAGAACTACATCGCACGCAGGCCCGCGTAAATTCAGATTTGTCTTCATTGTACTCACACACAGACTCAGTCACACTCAGAGCCAATCGCGCTCAGACCCACTCGCACTTAGCTTCGATCGCACCCAATCGCAAGCATACCCAGATTCGCTCGCACTCCGGCTCGCTCACACTCAGATGGCTCGCGCTCCGACTCGCTCGCACCAACAAGCCTACGCGCACGTGGTTACCGCAATACTGCCGCGTGGCACTACGGCACCCCATATGCCAGCAGGCGCCGCGAGTAGCACGCCAGCGAGCGGACGCAGCAACGCCATGCGCGCGTGCCTGGGTTGCCGCAGTGAGAACGGCAAGTAGAAATCTCCCTCGCTCTTGGACGTGTGTGTCCCCAGTCTCTCCTGCAAGACGTCCAGAGGAAGAGGACAGCACTGAAGTCGTCGCGGTCGTCGTTGTCGCGCCTGTCGTCTACGCGGGTTCGCTCTCACACCCAGGTGCTCACAGACAGAGTTCCTCAGCGAGACGTGACAGGAGACATGAGATGCACATCTGAATGATCGAAAACGCGTCGAGCATATCTGAATAATCGAAAACGCTTGCGGCGAGTCACCGCCGCCCCCGGCCTTTCGGAAGCGCCAATGCGTTCCTGGTCCGCCGGACGCCGTCGGAAACCGTCGGCGGTGCTTCTCTGTGCCGCCTTGGGGCCCTCTCCCTGGCCGTCTTGGAAAACACCTGGGGCATCCTAGAATTATCCTGGGCCGCCTTGGGGCCCTCTTGGGGCTGTTTTGGGGGGCATCTTGGGTCGTCAGAGGGCCCTCTCGGAGGCCTCTTCGGCGATCTTGAAGCCATGTTGGTGGCCTCTGGAGCCGTCTTGGGCAGTCGGAAAGCCGAAAGCGAGCAAACGCCAAAATCGAATGGGAATCAATCCTTTGGCCACTTCGGGGATTCCTGGAAGTCCTCCTTTGAGGACTCTTGGGCCGTCTCGTGGGCCTCTTAGCGTCTTGGGCCGTATTGGAGCCATCTTGGGCCGTCTTGGTGGCTTCTCAGGCGGACTTGGAGGCATCTTGGACCCTCTTGGGCCGTCTTGGAGGCCGTCTTGGACCATCCTGGGTGAGCTCACAAACCATCCTGGGCTATCTTGGTCGTCTTGGAGGCCATACGGGGGCCGCCTCGGGCGACAAAAACATTGCCTCCCACCTCCGGGTAAGCTCTCCGGGTGGCCGGCAGGCTGGGCCGAGGCCCCGAGAAGCAACCAAGACGGCCCACGATGGCTCCAATACGGCCCAAGACGCGAAAAGGCCCACGAGACGGCCCAAGAGTCTACCAAGGAGGACTTCCAGGAAGCCCCGAAAAGGCCAAAGGATCGGGTAAGCTCTCCGGGTGGCCGGCAGGCCGGGCCGAGGCCCCCGGTGGTTCCCGAGGACAGGCGTGTCATCCCGAGCCGTTCTGTGGCGCTCCCGGGGCCCGGGGCCCAGCGAGGGTCCCCAGAGGCCAAAAACAGAAAGAAAACCTGCGGTCACGACCCTTTCACGACTCGAAGGGGCGGGGGGAGGAGACAGAGGAGGGGGTCCCGAGCGACGCACATATCCGTATCAGCGCCCTCCGTGTCTGCATTCTGGGGCGTGATCCCGCGGATACCCGGTCGCACAGATACGTGCCGCGCGGGGCATCCTTGAAAAACGCCCCGTGTCTGCGGGGTCGCGGCCCAGGGGCCCAGCCCGCGAGGCCACGGATACGGACATGTGTTTCGTCCATGAGGGGGATCGGGAGAAGGAGGAGGAGGAGGAGGAGGAGGAGGAGGAGGAACAGGAGGGGTAGGAGTAGGAGTAGGAGTAGGAGTCAAGCTAGCCAGCTCGAGCGAGTCAAGCATGGCATGCCCAGTCCCACCCGCCCTCCCACAACATAAGAAGCAAAGCTGGCACAACTGGGGGCCGAAGTCACACCGGCCAGCCGGTTTGGTACAGCTGATGCGGCCGCGATGGCGGTTGCCGACGGGAACTGGCGAGCGCGTGTTTGAATGCCGCGCACGCATTGCCAGACGAGTCGAGAATGGCCCGGTACACCGCAGGAAGCCAGAGGTGGCCGGAGGAAGCCCGACGGTCTGACAGGACACCCCAAGGGGGCCCAGGAGGCCCCAAGAGGCAGGAGTAGTAGTACCAGTGGTAGTGGTGTTGGTAGTGGTAGTGGTAGTAGTAGTAGTAGTAACAGAAAAAGTAGTGCTATGACAAGTACTTGCAGTACTAATAGTAGTAGTAGTAGTAGTAGTAGTAGTAGTAGTAGTAGTAGTAGTTGTAGTAGTAGTAGTAGTAGTAGTAGTAGTAGTAGTCAGTAGTGTAGTAGTAGTAGTAGTAGTAGTAGTCGTATTAGTAGTAGTAGTAGTAGTAGTACCAAGTTGTATTAGTAGTAGTAGTTGTAGAGGTAAGTTGTGCGCGGCGGAGGCGCGGTCGCGCGGGGTGTGCGCCGCGTCCCATTCCTGCCACGCATTTTGCGACGTGACGACAGCACGACCATGTTGACAAGAACAACAAAAACTGTGTATTGTCTTTTGCAGATTAGAATGGGACGGATTGGATGGGCGGGCGCGGGGTGTGCGCCGCGTCCCATTCCTGCTATGCATTTTGCGACGTGGACGACAGGACGTCCATGCGACGGTGCCAATGACGGCGACGACTCTAGAAGGATTTGAGCATGCGCTCGCGGCGACGCGCGCGCATGTCGCCCGCGTGGTATTTTTTGCACAGGATTCGCGGCCTGGGTGCATGACAGAGCATCGCGAGTGCACCGCGCGATGACGTGAAATCGCTGGATTTGACCGAATTCTTAAGATTCCTATGGTTTTCCTATGATTTCAGCAAGAGAGCCCGGGCAGGAAATTTGTAGAATTTTTGTGAAAAAAGCATTGGGTGTTTGATGTTTTTATGTTGAAATGCTTGCAAACACACGGTGTTCGGTAGGATTATGACATGAACGCGCGCGTGTGCTCTTTGTGGTAATGTTTGCAATGGATTATCGCCGTGGACGACAGGACGTCCATGTCGAGAGGAAAAACTAAGAAAAATGTTGATTTTGTATTGTTTTTTACAGTTTAGGATGGGACCACCCGGATGGGGCCCCTATCTGCCGGCCTGAGGGGGGAGTAGGAGTATATTCTAATAAGGAATAAGGATAGGAGTAGGAGTAGGAGTAGGAGTAGGAGTAGGAGTAGGAGTAGGAGTAGGAGTAGGAGTAGGAGTAGGAGTAGGAGTAGGAGTAGGAGTAGGAGTAGGAGTAGGAGTAGTAGGAGTAGTAGGAGGAGGAGGAGGAGGAGGAGGAGGGAGGAGGAGGACGAGGAGGGAGGCTCGAGGAGGAGGAGGAGGAGGAGCAGGAGGAGGAGGAGCAGGAGGGAGAGGGGGCATCGAGCGATAGGAGGACGAGGGAGGCTCGCAGAGGGCCCCCGTGCCCCCACGCGCAGGCGCCTTTGGCGCCGCCGCGAGGCCGTCCGTGCGGAGCGTGTCGGCCGCCGACGCGGTGCTGTCGCTCGAGGTGTAGTTCGAGGGGCAGCGGCGCAGCACCACGAGCGGCTCCTGCGCGGTGCAGGGAGCGCTCAGCATCGGATCGTCCTCCTCCTCCTCCTCCTCCTCCTCCTCCACCTCCTCCTCCTGCTCCCTCCTCCTCCTCCTCCTCCACTTCCTCCATCCTCCCTTCTCCTCCCGGTCCCTTTCCTTCTGCTCCTCCCCTCCTCCTTCCTCCTCCTCCTCCTCCTCCTCCTCCTCCCTCCTCCTCCTCCTCTCCTCCTCCTCCCTCCTCCTCCCCTCCTCTTCTCCACTTCCTCCTCCTCCCTCTTCCTCTCCTCCTCCTCCTCCTCCTCCTTCTCTCCACCTCCTCCTCTCCTCCTCCTCCTCCTCCCTCCTCCTCCTCCTCCTCCCCCTCCACCTCCTCCTACTTTTCCACCTCCTCCTCCTCGTCCTCCCCTTTCTCCTCCTCCTTCTGCCCTTTCTTCTGCTCCTCCTCCTCCTCCTCCTCTTCCTCCTCCTCCTTCTCTTCCTCCTCCTCCTCCTCAAAGACATCGGACCGGATCGGAAGGTGCGTCGCGTCATGGGACGTACAAGAACATTAGAAGAAGAAAGAACGACATAAACATAGACGTTTGGCGCTCCGCGCGGTTTTCTTGGATCTGCGCTAGACACCCCTTCCTGACGCGCGGAGCGCGCCAGGGGCGGCGCCGGAGGCGCTGCCAGGGGGTTCCCAGTGCGAATCCCAGAAATCCGCGCGGAGCGCCAAAAGTTTGTGTTTATGGCGTTTTTCTTCTTCGAGACATACCAGTACTATGTGTCCTCCTCGGAGGCGTGCGTCCGACCCGAACATGTCGTGCAACCATCTTGTCGTGTACCGCTTCCCGAGCGGTGGGGCCAGAAAGCACCCGCCACGGAGCGTATACGAATCATGAGATTCCTCGGCGCGTACGTCGCCTCTGGCGGGGCGCCGCGCACATAGCAGTAGTACGTTGGCGTGACGCCGGCATCAGGCCGCAACGGCCCTGTGGGACAAGAACCATCAGGCCAACTGCGAGACCCAAGCGAGCATTCGTACAGACGTCTTGGCTGCGCCCACACCCGCGCCCCCTGGGAGGGTTAGCGCTCAGCGAGGATCGCGCGAAACGTCCCAAGATCGGTCGCACCTCGCACCGTGCTTGAATCGAAAAAACTGCGTGTCCACATACTTGTTTGAGATCCGCGCAGATTTCTGGGACTTGCGCTGCGGCGCCGCCCCTGGCACGTTCCGCGCGCCCACACCAAACAACCTGCGAACCATATAACATCAAACAACAACAACAACAACAACAACAACAACAACAACAACAACAACAATCACTTTACCCGAACGCTCAGTGTTCTCACCAGTGCCAGGGTTTTCATGCGACGCCAGCCAATACCCCCACTTTGTGGGGGGGCAGTGCAAGCTCTACCAAATATCCACACGACTCTTCGCCACCACCCACACCCAGCTTCCCGCCCTATGACGTTCGGACACTTCACTTCGTGGCCTGCGGACGACCGTGGCTACTACACTGGCGTGGAGTACACACCCACAGAAGTTGTTAAGCCTACGTTCGTACACCCACAGAAGTTGTTAAGCCTTGTTAACCCACAGAAGTTGTTAAGCCTTCCACAGAAGTGATTTTATGATGCGCGGTGCTAAAATTCTTAAGAAGCCCAATGGTTTTTGGAGATTTCGGCGTGCGCGCGCGAAGAAAAAACGAATGTGTCCCGCATGGTATTATTTGACAGGGATGATGGCCCTGGCAGGTGCGCAACCGTTGTCGCAGAAGTTCGAAAAAGTTGCTCGCAAAAGCCCGTTTGACAGAAATGTTTAAAAAGTGTTGGGTTTCCTACGAATCCGCAAGAGCGCGCGGGATGAGATTTTGACAATTTTTGTTGAAAAACCATTGGTTTTTGATGTTTTTATGTTAAAATCGCTGCGAACACTAAGGTTTTGGAAGGATTTCGTCTTGCGCGCGCGAATGTCCACTTTACCTTATTTTTTGCAAGGGATTCTTGAAATTTGATTATATTAGAACAAGAAATGTCATTTTCTATTGTTTTTTGCAAGGGAAAGCGGATTACAACAAAACAACCGGATCCTGTACACACCCTCTTTTCTGAGGCTTCCTCACGAAAATGATGAAAATGTAGCTGCGGCCTAGGCGGCGCAGGGGGGGCGCGCACCAGGGGGCCCAACAATAATTATTCTTTAGAATAAATAATGTTCAACAACAAGGTTAAGGCCGGCATGGCCCCCCCGGGGTGCGGGAGCGGATCCGCCGGTTCCACCACCGTGGAGAAGGCCGGCACTGCCCCCCCGGTCAGTCCGAAGGGGGGAGGGGGGGGGGGCGAACAACACAACACAACATCCTAGGGCATCCTTAGGGAATCCTTAGGGAATCCCTCGGGAGTCCTAGGGAATCCTTAGGGAATCCTTAGGGAATCCTTAGGGAATCCTTAAAAATCTTTTAAAATCCGTAGGGGGTCCTGAGGGAATCCTTCAGAATCCCGAGGGACTCCTGGAGGAATCCTTAGGGAATCCTTCAGAATCCCTAAGGACTCCTGAGGGAATCCTTCAGAATCCCTAGGAGCTCCTTAGGGAATCCTTAAGCATCCCTTGGGCATCCTTCAAGAATCCTTAAGAATCCATGCGAAGTCCTCCGGGAATCCTCAAGAATCCCTAAATAATCCTTCAGAACCCCTAGGGAATCCTTAAGACTCGCTGGGGAATCCCTAGGGACTCCTTAAGCATCCCTGAGGAAGCCTTAAGAATCCCGAAGGAATCCTTCAAAATCCCCAAAAGGAATTCCGAAGGAATCCTTCAGACTCCCTAAGGAATTCTTAAGAATCCTTAGGGAATCCCTCGGGGATCCTTCAGAATCCTCCAGAAATCCTTACGAATCCCTAAGGAATCCTTGAGATTCCCTAAGGAGTCCCTACGGAATCCTTAAGAATCCTTAAGGAAGCCTTTGGGAATCCTGACGGAATCCTTACGGAATCCTTAAGGAACCATCAAGAATCCCTGAGGGATCCTCCGGGAATCCTCCGGGAATCCTACAGAATCCGTAATGAATCCCTCGGGAATCCTTAAGAACCCCTAGGGCATCCTTCAGAATCCCTAAGGATTCCTCAGGGCATCCTTAAGAAGCCCTAGGGACTCCTTAGGGAATCCTGAAGAATCCTGAAGAATCAGTAGGAATCCTCAAGGAACCCTCAGGGAAACCTTAAGAATCCTTTGGGAATCCTGAAAGAATCCTCAAGGAATCCTCAGGGAATCCTTGAGAATCCTTAGGGAATCCTTAAGGAATCCTCAGGGAATCTTTCGGAATCACTCGGGAATCCTTGAGAATCCCTCAGGAATCCTTAAGAATCCATAGGGCAACCTCAAGGAATCCTTCGGGAACCCAAGGAATCCTTAAGAGTCCCTTAGGAATCCTTGAGGAATCCTTCAGAATCCTCCAGGGAATCCAAAAAAGAATCCGTAGGGAATCCTCTGGGAAGCCATAAGCATCCCTGAGGAATCCTTTGGGGATCCTCAGGGAATCCCTTAGATTCCCGAGTGAATATTTAAGAATCCTCACGGTATCCCTAGGGAATCCTGAAGAACCCCTGGAGTATCCTTATGGAATCCTCAAGATCCCCTAGGTATGCTTGGGGACTGCTTAACACCCCCTAAGGTATCATTTGGGATTCCTTCAACATTCCGAAGGGGATCCCTAAGAATCCTCATGGAACCCTTAAGAATCCCTAAGGTATCTGAAGTCTGGGTATGAGTTGTGGTACTCGACATACTAATGGAGGTGTAGCAGTCGTAGTAGTAGTAGTAGTAGTAGTAGTAGTAGTAGTAGTAGTAGTACTAGTAGTAGTAGTAGTAGTAGTAGTAGTAGTCGTAGTCGTAGTAGTAGTAGTAGTAGTAGTAGTAGTAGTAGTAGTAGTCGTAGTAGTCGTAGTAGTAGTAGTAGTAGTAGTAGTAGTAGTAGTACTAGTAGTACTAGTCGTAGTAGCAGTAGTACTAGTAGAGTAGTAGTAGTAGAAGTAGTAGTAGTAGTAGTAGTAGCAGCAGTAGTAGTAGTAGTAGTGGTGGCAGCAGTAGTAGTAGTAGTAGTAGTTGTAGTAGTAGTAGTATTAGTAGTCGTAGTAGTAGTAGTAGTAGTAGTAGCAGAAATAGTAGTAGCCCAAGAAATTGTAGTAGTAGTAGTAGTACTAGACCTGGCAGTAGTTGGCGTACTACTACTAGCATTCGTATTAGTAGTGGTAGTAGTTGTAAGCATAATGATCGTAATACGGATACTAATACTAGTAGTAGTAGTAGTAGTAGCAGTAGTAGCAGTAGCCGTACCAATAATAATGATAATAGTCGTAGTAGTAGTCATCGTAATAATAGTACAAGTGGTATTCGCAGTAGTAGTAGTAGTAGTCGTAGTAGTCGTAGTAGTAGTAGTAGCAGTAGTCGTAGTAGTAGTAATATCGATACCAGTCGTCGCAACAGTTCGAGTGGCAGTGGGAGTAGTATTAGGAGAGTGTTGGTAGTAGAACTAGTAATAGTATCAGTAGTAGTAGTAGTGGTCGTAGTCGTGGCAGTAATAATAGTAGCCGTGGTGGTAGTAGTAGTAGTCAGAATAACAATAGTGGTTTCTTGTCTAAAGCTAAGTGTAGAAGTGATAGCAGCGGTAGTGGTAGCGGTGGAAGTTGAAGTGGTAATCGCAGCAGTGATGGTAGCATTAGTGAAATTAGTAGTAGTACTAGTAGTAGTAATAGTAGTAGTAGTAGTAGTAGCAGCAGCAGTAGTAGTAGTAGTGGTAGTAGTTTTCGTAGTAGTAGTAGTAGTAGTAGTAGTAGTAGTAGTAGTTGTGGTAGTGGTAGTAGTAGTAGTAGTAGTAGGAGTAGTAGAAGTAGTAGTAGTAGTAGTAGTAGTAGTAGTGGTAGTAGTAGTAGTAGTAGTAGTAGTAGTAGTAGTAGTAGTGGTGGTGGTGGTGGTAGTAGTAGTAGTAGTAGTAGTAGTAGTAG